ACCCAAAAAAAAAAAAAATATTAAAAAAATACCCCCAAAAAAACCCCCCCCCCCCCCCATTCACATGAAGATAAAAAGAGGGAAGAGGGGAAACACATTCAGACTTGCAAGATTCTGTTTCAAGAGCTGTTCTAACATAAATAGCTTTAGGCCCACACAGTGTCTGTTTCTTAGCCTGGTCTACCTTATAGGACTGACATGATCACAGGAAGTGATACTGCCACCCTATGCTGCAGTGCTCAGGCCAGATCTGGAATCCTGTGTCCAATTCTGGTCACCACAATATAAAAAGGATACTGAGAAACTAGGAAAAATGCAGAGAAGATGACAAAGCTGGTAAAGGTCCTGGAGACTGCATCCTATGAAGAGCAGTTGGAGGAAGTGGGAATGTTTAGCCTAAAGAAGAGAAGGCTTAGGGGAGACGTGATAGCAGTCTTCCAATGCTGGAAGGGCTGCCACAAGGAAGAAGGGGTGGATTCTCCATAACAGCTAAGGGTCAGACAAGAATCAACAGCAAGAGATCCAAACTCAAAATAAGGAAGAATTTCCTGAGATCCATTAAGCAGTGGAACAGCCTACCTCCTGGACTCATAGAAGGCTCCACCACTGCAGATTCAAACAAAAGATGGACAGCCCCTTGTCCCGGATGGTCTGAGGATTCCTGCCCTGGGCAGGGATTGAGCTAGAAGACCTCCAAGTTCCCTTCCCACCCTAGGATTCTATGAATGTAAGTCAACAGCATGATGTGGCTGCCAAAAAGGCAAATGCAATTTTAGCTGAATCTATAGAAGTATTGTTTCCACATCAGAATAGAGTGGAAATAAATTTGTATTTCAATAAATAAAGGCATATTTTATCATTTTCACTTATGGCTCTGACTTGACTTGTTGCCTCCCTTCTAGAAAAGGGGACAAATGGTTTGTTCTCTGCTAGCTTCCTCTCTGAACCTCATGTATAAATCCATGCCGATGAATGCCACAACCCTGGATTAGTCCCGACACACACTGTTGAAGTCTGCAAGGGCTGTTAGACAGATGTATATAACAAATTTTATTAATTAGCTTGATTCACAACTCTGCTCCCTTCAGACAGAACTATATAGCAGCAGCTACCATACATGGTGACCTATTTGGAGAATCAAATCTATTTGAAGTTTTGGTCCCATCTAGACTGCCGGTGGGAACATGGCGGTTTAAACACCTCTCCGCAACAGGGAGAGATGACACCGCAGCTAGATTGGTGGCTGGCAGCAAGTGCTGGCTGCCCAACTTGCTCCGGATAAAGGAGGAAGCAAGGAAATTGACCCATTTGGTCTCCTGACAGCCAGTCTTTGAAGGTTGATTGCGGAGATTGAAGCCTCTGCAAACGGTTCTTGAGTTGCGTGGTTGGGAGGCAGGGGAACCATCTCTGTTCACTGCTGTGGTGCAGCCTTTAATGGACATTAGAGCCAACCAATTCCCATTTCTTAAACACTTTGATCTGTAACTATTTTTCAGCTTAAGAGAGACTTTCCTTCACAACAGATAAGTAAAT